GAGGGGTGCTGTGTGTGGGGAGGTAGGGGTGCTGTGTGGGGGTAGAGGTGATGTGTGGGGGAGTAGGGGTGTAGGGGAGGGATGCTTTGTGTGGGGGAGGGGGAGGGGTGCTGGGGAAGGATGCTGGGGGTAGTGGTGGAATGTTGTAGCTTTTAAACTGACATCATGTGGTATATTGTTATATAGTTAGACCACGTCAAGGCTGGCAATAAGAGTATCAGGTTCTCTAACAATAGTAAGCTTTGTTTGGTATCCTTTAGATACGAAGGTAATTCAAAAACCAGGGGATGTAATACTTTTTTCCATAAATTTGCTCGCTTGTTCAGTCAATGAGTTATTTCATTGAGTGGTAAAGCCTGCAAATTTATTACACCATCTAAAGTTATGGAATGCAGTAATACAAAAAAAATCTATACTATAAAAGATTTTGCAAACTGCAGCACAACAAAAGTCGTTTATGTAATAACATGCAGTTGCAAGCTCCAGTACATAGTGCTGTGGGGGGGTAAGGGTACTGTGTGTGGATGGTAGGGGTACTGTGTCTGGGGTTAGGGGTGCTGTGTGTGGGGGGGATAGGGGTACTGTGTGTGGGAGTAGAGGTACTGTGTGTGTGTGGGGGTAGGGGTGCACTGCTGGGGGGTATTGGGGCTGCTGTGGGGGGTGGGGGTACTGGATGGGGGGCTAGAGGTGTGGGGGTGTGGCAAAAAGTATGCTGAATCGATACACACTCCTCCTTCTTACCTTTAATGGAGGGGACACAGCCATCCCTGGTGGTCGGTGGTGTGAGAGTACTGCTTCGGGTGGGGAGGCGGGGGAGGGATCTGTGGCCCAGCTCTCCTGTCCTCCTGCATGATGCTGTGTGGAGAGTTGCCATGGTAACGCGAGGCAACACTCCACACAGCTCGCGGGAGGACAGGAGAGCTGCTTCCTCGATCCCTCCCCCCTGCTTCCGGACAAGAAAGCAGAGTAGGCGCCTGCCGTTTCGACAGGCAGGTGCTTATTCTGCATTGATGGCGAGCTATGGCTGCATGCCCACAGAGAGGGCCCGGCGTGCCACCTGTAGCACACGTGCCATAGGTTCACCATCACTGCCCTAGAACAAGGGGCAATATCAAGAGTATTATTAGCATGGCAAAGTGAACTGCAAGCAACCTTCGATAGTAAAGAATGGGTAAACAGTCTTATGTCTATTAGGAAAGTCACACATTGTTTAACATTACAAGAAACACATTTAAAACTGAATTATAGATGGTATTTAGTACCTACCATAGTAGCAAAATTTAAGAGCACAGAGAATATATTATGCTGGAGATGTGGAGATCAAAATGGTAGCTATTTGCATATATGGTGGGATTGTAGTCAGACAACTGAAGTCTGGAAAACTATTTTTGTTGTTATTTCTGAGATATTGAAAATAAAGATAGCTCCAACTGCAAAGAGGGCATTGCTACATATGGATTTGGAAGAATTTGAATTTAAGGATAGTTATATGATTATACAAATCTTTTCAGCTATGAAAATTTCTATAGCGCGAAATTGGAAATCAAAAGACAAAATGTGCTGGAATATGGTTAGAAATCAGGTAAAGTCTCAAGGAGATTTGGAAAGAGGATTTTATCTGAATTATCAAACATTAGATAAATATAACACCCTATGGAGTCCTTGGCTAAATAAGTATCAACACACTAAAGAGGGTAATGAAGAGCAAAACGAAAAATAAGAAAGGAAAGAGAAAGGGGGATAAAGGGAAAGAGAAAAAAGAAAGGAAGAAGGCAGAGAAAATGAAATTGACAAAAAGAAAAAGAGTAATGGTAGCTCTTATTCATCACTGTATAGAGCAAGACATAGGTAATAAATCAAGCAATAAAAAAGTAGTTAGGGATCAAAAATTGTTCTTTTTTTATTTTATTTTTTTGTGTCTGGTGTCTATGATTGAGTGAGTGATAATTTTTTGTTTGAGGTAGAAATAGAACACTGAAATAATTAAGTGAAGTAAAGGTAGAGTAGATTAAAAGATGGATATTAACAAATGATGAACATGTTATGAAAGTAAAATCTAATATTGAATGGTGATATTCATACCTAGCTCTGATGTTTAAAAAAAAGAAAAGAAAAAAAAAAGACTATTCAGCAAACATAGACCCTTTAATATCCTAATTAACATATACTTATTGTCCTGCCAACTAAAAAGATCAAATTTGTTGCTGCTTAAATCAAGCTTTTAAACTCAATCTACTATCCCTTTAATTTATGAGAGGATTGCAATTTAATTGATTTCCTGGCACTGGAGGAGTTAATATCTAAGCATCCTCTTTGTGCTCTAGTACATACACGCCACTCATAGAAAGCTGCCCACCCCCTGTGGTTGCTATTTGCGGATGTCGTTGATATCACGGAAAGGGGCGTGCCTTGGCGGCTACACAAGGCAGCACGATCAGTGTTAATCCAACTCTTGAAAAAGGCACATGTCAGTGCCGAAACGCGCGTTGGGCTAGACTCCACACTTGTGGGTTTCTGTTCTTAGTCTAGGACCACTACTGGATGCCTCCTTAGCTTTGACTTAATTTCGTAGGACCGTGGGAGTATCTTTACTACTGGGTAGCTGTTTTTGTTGTAGCCAGACCAGGGGCTGCCTTGAGGCAGCTGATCAAGAGTTAGCTATCATATGTATACCCAAATCAGAGGCTGACTTGAAGCAAATATTAGGTAGTTAACCCTTTGTAATAGTCTCCACTAGACCAGCAATGGCTACTAGCAGCAAATAACAGACTATCAGGCTGTATGGTAATTTCATCTCTCCACAGAATTAACAGACCCCTAGTGGTTCTGCCCCTTGATGATTGCCTAATCATTTCTGTATTTCTAGCCAGTCTAGCAAACTTTTTTGCAGTATCAATGCATCAGTTGAACTAAATCGTACTCTCATCTGTTTACCATTGCTCTTGTCAAACTACTAGCTATATTTATTATAGCAGGATATACTTCTTAGAACACTCTAAACAGACAAAAATGTTGGCATCTCACCTTAAATGTTCAAAATTGTGGCTTCCATATCAAAGTGCCATGTTTCACACAGCACTTGGCCTTTTTCTAATGCCACTGAGCGGACTCCACTGAGGTTCTGCAAATAATTATATCATACTACCTAATTGTACTTTGACTAACTGGGATATATTAATTTTTTTTCCCTTCTTTATCTCGCCATCGTTAGCTTCCCGATCGGTATTATCAATATTATCAGTATTGCCTAATCATTTCTGTATTTCTAGCCAATCTATCAAACCTTTTTGCAGTATCAATGCATCAGTTGAAATAAATCGTATTCTCATCTGTTTACCATTGCTCTTGTCAAACTACTAGCTATATTTATTATAGCAGGATATACTTCTTAGAGCACTTTAAACAGACAAAAATGTTGGCATCTCACCTTAACTGTTCAAAATTGTGGCTTCCATATCAAAGTGCCATGTTTCACACAGCACTTGGCCTTTTTCTAATGCCACTGAGCGGACTCCACTGAGGTTCTGCAAATAATTATATCATACTACCTAATTGTGCTTTGACTAACTGGGATATATTCATTTTTTTTTTCCTTCTTTATCTCTCCATCGTTAGCTTCCCGATCGGTATTATCAATATGGGTTTTGCTGCTTTGGATTTCCCCATATACCCCCTATACCTCACTATAAGAGACTGTACCAACCCTCCTAATTTAGCCGTACTATTAATCCAGAGATATACATGAATAATCTTATTTGAAATTTACCTGCTGACCACTTGTCATAACATATATTCATTCTCTTTATACTTTACCCTTTGATAGTATCCTATCATTCCAAACTGTAGACCTATTTTGAGACCCCTGCATCGCAACTATTTGCAGCATTGTATTTGGTGAACCAATATTTGTCTACATCCTAAGCGAGGATTCATTTTGGATACTAAAACAAGGCTCCAATAGCTGGTCCTATTTTAACCATTTTTTTGCACTTTATGTTTATACTGTTAATTTTGTCTTTGTGTCTCTTATTTATCCAGTTATGGATCTAATAAAATCCACAGTTTTTTGTTTTTATACTTTAAGGCACTAAGTCTAGTATTGGATTAGTAGCTTCCATCAGGGTGATAAGATTAGTACTGGCCTTGTTCTTTGTAAAGTCCGCTCTAATCTTCCTTATTATTCCTGTCTTGGGTTATGTCCTAATTACCCTACAACCATTAAAGATTTACTCTCGCTGTCTTTGTATTCTCTCTATCCTTGAACATGATTTCCATTATTTTCCCCACTACTGAAGTAAGGCTTGCTGGCCTGTAGTTGCCCAATGGGATAATGCTGGCCTGTAGTTACCTATGGGATAATGCTTGCAGAAATATGTGCTTGACCACCTTTTTAAAAACCTTTAAAGTTTTAATTTAATTAAGACTAGGAATTCAACATAAAAAATAAGAGTAGCAATCTCAATGCAAACTGTGGAACATAACACGTATAAGAGAAAAAAGAGAAAACAAAGAAAACTCTTGGCAACTAATTATTTTTTTTCCAATCATGTATTTAATATTAAGCAAAAATGTAAAATGCTCTGTTGCACGGTTAGTGCTTGAAACATACCTTTAAGATATGGAATTTGCAGGTGGCCAGACATCCGAAAAAAGAAAAATCTCAACATATTCTTCCTAATAAAATTAATTCTAAAAAAAAAAAATAGAAATTACTGTGATATTCTATACAATAAAGTAATAAGCAGCATTTATTATTCTCTTTTAAACATAATGATCAGAGAATATCTTCATGTTTTAACCTGACATTCGAAGAAATATGTAAATATGTAAAAAAAACATAGATCTTGTTCCACAGGAAGTATGCATAATGATAATTATACACACTACTCTATAATACAGTTCATTGTTTTGATAATAATTAGATTACTTCACTATATCTAAGAGGTCTTTCTTCATAGTAGTGCACATAAAAGGCTTTGCCTTGCATATCTAAAATAGACATGCTTCACAATGTCTTATTTTATGCTCTTTGTGCATATATTAACTTGAGATGCATTCAGTCCTATGGCATTGAAGAAGATGCTGTAGCTTATATGGATGGAGATATCATGATAGGAGGCATCTTTCCAATTCACAATGAGGTTTCCAATTTATTAAACCGCACTAATGCTGATGATTATATTTGTACTGGGTAAGTACTTTTACATCTTTTATAACCATATTGCTCCATTTTATAGTTGCATTGATACAAGTAATAATGAATAAATATAACGAAATTTTTTAAAATTATTATGTAGTAATTTAATAATTAACTATATTAAATTATCCTAATATCTTACACCACACTAATTCTGATGATTATATTTGTACTGGGTAAGTACTTTTACATCCTTTAAAACTGTATTTTTCAATTTCATAGTTGTAGTGATACAAGTAATAATGAATATATATATATATGTATATATATAAAAAAAACAGTTATGTAAGTAAATTAATACTAACTGTTAATTATTGTAAACGCATAGCTATGCTTTCTGTGATATTTGTTTTATTAATTTGTAAGTACCAATTATTATTAAATTATAGCATTAAACTATAAAATTAACTGAAAAAATAAATATAGTAAACAAAGTGCTGAAAAAATAGACTTCGTAAAAATACAATCTGACATCTACCTATGCATTCACTAAACAGAGATATGAACTAGAGATTGAACTGCAAAATTCACGTTATAGCCAATATAGTAGCAAAAATGACTATACTGTAGTTAAAGGATTACTATAGTGTCAGGAAAACAAAGTGGTTTTCCTGACACTATAGTGCCCTGAGGGTGCCCCCACCCTCAGGGTCCCCCTCCTGTGACGCTGAAGGGGTTAAAACCCCTTCAGTTGCTTACCTTATTCCAGCGCCAGGCTCCCTCAGCGCTGGTGACCTCTCCTTCCCCACCGACGTCAGTTCCCTCTGCTGACATTAGCGGATCCAAATGCGCATGCGCGGCAAGTGCCACGTGTGCATTCAAGCTGCCAATAGGAAAGCATTTTTCAATGCTTTCCTATGGACACTCTGCGTGATGAAGGCATAATATGCCTCCAGCGTCGCAGATGCGCCTCTAGTGGCTGTCCGGAAGACAGCCACTAGAGGCTGGCTTAACCCTGCAATGTAAACATTGCAGTTTCTCTGAAACTGCTATGTTTGCATCTGCAGGGTTAAAACCCGAGGGACCTGGCACCAGGGCCGGCCTTAGGCCATTAGGCGCCCTGTGCGAAAAGTCTTCACAGCGCCCCCCTTCCCCCAACAAGTTGCCTTATATATACAGTCACACACACAGGCCAAGGCAGACAGTCAAACAAACAGTTACAAGCAGACAGTCAGACACGCTCAGTTATAGACAGACAGTCACACATGCTCAGTTACAGGCAGACAGTCACAGAGCCAAACACACAGTTAAAGGCAGACAGTCACACACAGTTACAGGCACACAATCACACACACAGTTACAGGCAGACAGTCACACATACTCCTTACCGAGTGTGTATGACAGTCATACACACTCGGTTACAGGCATGCAGACACTCACGCTGATAGGCACACATACAGGCACACACAATGGCACAGCTACAGCGACACACACAATTGGAGTCACACACAGGCAGACAGTCACACACAGACAGTCACATACACACACAGGCAAACCGTCAAACACAGGCAGACAGACAGACAGTTACACACACACAGGCAGGCAGTCAGTCACACAGACAGACAGCCACACAGGCAGTCATGCAGACAGTCACACACACACACACACAAAGGCAAACAGTCACACACACACACAGGGAGGCAGTCACACACATAGGCAGACAGTCACACACACACACACACACACACACAGGCAAACAGTCACACACAGACAGTCAGACAGACAGTCACACACACAGACAGGCAGACACACACAGGCAGGCAGTCACACACAAGCAGGCAGTCAAACAGTCACACAGACAGACAGTCTCACACACACAGGCAGATAGTCACACACACACACACACACACACACACACACACACACACACAGGCAGTCACACAGGCAGACAGTCACACAGGCAGACAGTCACACACACAGGCAAACAGTCACACACACAGGCAAACAGTCACACACAAGCAGGCAGTCAGACAGTAACACACACAGGCAGTCAGTCACACACAAGCAGGCAGGCAGTCACACGCAGGCAGGCAGTCACACACACACACATGCAGGCAGACACAAAAACAGACAGTCACACAAACAGGCACACACAGGTAGGCAGACACACACACTCACACACACACAGGCTTGCATCTTTCCATTATGGCTGGAAGGGAGAGTGGAAGCAGTTAGTTGTTGGGGAAGCAGGGATTCCTTCCTGCTTCCCTCTTCCTGTGCAGCAGTTACCTGGGACTTCGGGTAGGTATAAGCCCCGCCTCCACCTCGCGATAAGCCCCTGCCTCCCAGTAAGCCCCACCTCCACCACCTCATTTTTTGGGGTTTTTGCTCTCCTGTCACCCGGCCATGTGTGAGCTGTGTCGGCCACAAGGCGCCCCCTGCTCCATGGCACCCTGTGCGGCGCACACAGCTTGCACAACCCTAAGGCCGGCCCTGCCTGGCACCCAGACCACTTAATTGAGCTGAAGTGGTCTGGGTGACTATAGTGTCCCTTTAAGTAAAAAAAAAATTTAAATCTTTCTAGATCAGCTATTATTGTCTTTGATCCCATATGCTAGCTGGTGTTACTCATGTATAACATAATGGTTATGTGATGATTGATGATTTTGGGTAGAGAAAACAGCACCCTACTTTGGAAAGTTTTAAACAGGCAATTCCACATAAGGGTACTAAATTAGGTAGCTATCTACTAAACAGCTAAAAGTGCAAAAAAAACAGCTCCTTGACTTGGTATCCTTAAATATGGCAATTCTCTGTAGAGAAAACAGCTCCTTGACTTGGTGTCCTTAAATAGGGCAATCCCACATAAGGGTACCAAATTAAGGAGCCATCTACTAAACAGCTGAAAGTGCAAAAATAGAAAGGGCCATTTAAAAAAAAAAAATTGCTCTTCTAGTTGCATAGTAGATACATCCCTAATTTGGTATCATTAATTATGGCAAATCCATGTAAGGATACCAAATAAGGGAGCTTTCTACTAAAAACAGCTAAAAAATTGAAAAAACAAAACAAAAGTCCTTTTCTTAATTTTGCTGTTTCAACTGCTTAACAGTTAATTTGCTTTTCTTATGGAAAAAATAGACTATAAAACATTCTTTCAACATTCTAAATTAATTTGTTTTCAGTTTGTTTCGGATTCTGCCACTTTGGAATTTGGAAGCTTCTAAAAAAGATTCTGAAGAAATTTGATTCTGAACTAAACAAATATACATGTTTAACTAGGAGTAATGTCCCACTAAATAAGCAGAACTAATATAATGAATCCTTTCAGCGTAGCTTTTAAAAGCGCCACCAAGCCCGCTAGGCTCCCATCACGCCCCCTGGACAAACAAGCTGTGAAAAACATACACACTGACAAACAAATATGAAACAAATAAAAGGAGGGGGGATGGAAACTACTCCACCCACCTTAAACCCCTTTACCAATTCCTCTGTATACACTCCCCTCACACTCACATGTCCCTGTTCCTGCCTAAGCCCTGTCTGGCTCCTCAGGGTCTTGTGCATAAATAGAGGGTAACTATGTATTGGCATAAACCTGACCCTTGTTAAAGGACCACTATAGTGCCAGGAAAACATACTCGTTTTCCTGGCACTATAGTGCCCTGAGGGTGCCCCCAGCCTCAGGGACCCCCTCCCGCCCGGCTCTGGAAAGGGGAAAAGGGGTTAAACTTACCTTTTTCCAGCGCTGGGCGGGGAGCTCTCCTCCTCTGATCCTCCTTCTCTCCTCCCCGTCGGCTGAATGCGCACGCGCGGCAAGAGCTGCGTGCGCATTCAGCCGGTCACATAGGAAAGCATTCATAATGCTAAGGCTTAACCCATTCATAAACATAGCAGTTTCTCTGAAACTGCTATGTTTATGAAAAAATGGGTTAACCCCTGTCTGGACCTGGCACCCAGACCACTTCATTAAGCTGAAGTGGTCTGGGTGCCTAGAGTGGTCCTTTAAACCCCAACCTTTGCTTCCAATGAAAACACACCAGACTTGCTTTGGATTAAAATAGGCCACAGCTTTATTAAAATATAAATATATAAATATTTAAACTTCAACTTTATAACATAAAACACTATATACATAATTACTCAGTAAATAGATACTTCACTGAGTACCACCTTGCTAACCAACCATAACTTAAGGGCAGCTGCCCCCTCCCCCCTTGTTCCAACCAGCACAGGGTCTTTTCTTGGGCCTACCATTGTATAATGTTAACCACTAGCCTGTTAGTTGGCTCAATGGGCATGTCCGTTATCCATCACTTAACCTGAGGTTAGGGGAGGGACAGCCCTACCCTTCACTTTCCATGGACCCCTGGTCCAACCCCCAGTTGACAAGGACTATATAGTGCCACACACCCGCAGGGCGTCCACAAGCCCGCTGGGCTTCCACATGCCCGCTGGGCTCTCACAATGCCCGCTGGGCACCCACCAAGCCCGCTGGGCTCCCACCACACCCACTGGACATACACATGCCCCCTGGGCAAACAAGCTGTGACAAACAAACACACTGACAGACAAACATGTAACAAATAAATGGAGGGAGGGCGGGTGGGAAGCTGTTCCCAACTGATAATTAAGATGGCTGCTGTATTGTAAGATGGCAACCTATTTTTACCAGCCCACCCATCCACCCATCCACCCATCCTAAACCACTCTACCACATTCCTCTATATACACTCCCCTCACAACTCACATGCCCCTGTTCCTGCCTAGGCCCTGCATGGCTCCTCAGGGTCTGTCATGCTGATAGGGGAATGTCACAAAAATATATATACCAAATGTATGCCTGCATGCAGACGATTGTTGGGAGACATACCAGGTATGGTCTTTACCTCTTCCTCTCTCATATGTGGTAAGATGGAGTGTAACAGTGCCCACACCAGGGTCCAGGGAATTCTTCTACCTATACCTTTACCATAAGGTAATAGTGTTCCAATTCTCTAATACTTCAAATTCTAGGCAAAAGATGCCCAATCCCTCGAACTCTATTAATAATGATATCGGACATCCAGCCTGTTCCTAGTCCCCTCATGCTAATGAGATGACCCTTCACCTCTAAATTAAAAAAGTCTGTAGATAGGAGTCATCAAGTCCCTAACCAATCATATAATAATCTCTACCTACCACTCTCTATTCACTGTTAGGGATGAGGATGGTGGCTCATAAGTAAAGTCAGAACACTGAACAGCTGACTTGCTGAATTACACTTTTTTACTGTCTTCAGAGCTTAAGTCATAAATATGTAAACCAATTGTTGCATGCATCTCTCAGCTAGGGAAGTTTTTAAGCCCCTCTCCCATTTTCTTTTACCCACCTATCTCATTGTACAGCAGCAGGAGAGAGAATTCTAATCACACCAATCAGACTCCCTGCCTTTTCCCAATGTCACAATGTTGCAAGTTAGAGATTTTTTAACTGCATATGTGTAAATCTGCCAGGCAAGCCCAATAAACTTTTCCAGCATTCCTAGGGATAGGACACACCTGGAGTGGCTGTGAAAAGCATAGGAAATTAGAAGCAGGTACATATGAAAAAAATAAAGCCATACTTACCTACTTTTTTCGGCTTTTCAGTGAAGTCTAGTGGTTATAGTGCTTGGAATGTTCCTTTACAGGTGGCCTACTGTTAATAATTCTTTATTTTGTACATTTTGTAATTTGAACATTGCACATATAGGAAACATTTCAAATAAGAGGTACATTAGGGTACAGAATAAAAAAAAAGGGTTAGCATGTGTTGTATCTTCATACAGGCATATATTAAATCTTGAATTTTCATGAAGGTATTAAAGTATATAGTTATATATTTAGCTTAGTCATCCTTTGCTTTGTTGACACAGGCCATTAAACAAGTTACAAAACAGGAAGAAACATACAGGAAAATAGAGGAATTAGTGGGTACTTTATATAATATGGGCAGACGTACAGTAAGGTGACTCAGTAATGAAGAGGGGACTCAGTAATGAAGTCCCGGGGCATGCAATATGCCATACATTTCCGTAGTGATCAGCAGAATGCTATATTGTTTGGTTAATTGTAACACTCTTTGA